GCACCCCTCCTTTCAAGACTTTAAATCAGAAGTTGTATTGAAAGTTGGTGCTGAAAGATGGAAAGATGGTGCTTTTAGGCAGAGAGTTATTTTTAATTTTTTGGAGGTAGTTCCTTTCTTGAAGAATCATACAGAAGCCAGGTGTGTCAGCTGGAGGTTCTCTCAGCTTCACTCTGTTATAAACTGGGCAGTTCCTGAGGATGCTGCTCACCAGCTCTTTGGGAACAGTAGCCAGACACCCCCAGGGACCAGCCCAGCTCTGTCCCTTACTTTGTCCCTGTGTCCTGCTAAAGGTGCTGCCTGACTTCTCCAGGACGGTCCGGCCCTCTGTTTTTCCTCTCTTGGATGATGGGTGACACTCCAGCTTTTCCTCCAGGGAATATCTCATTATCTGACAAAACATGACCATCATTGGGCTTCCTGACGTAATCCCAAAGATTCCAAATTTATATTTCATGGGGCCCCATCCCCTCATCTTCCTGCTTTTCTTCATTGTCACCTTATCTTTCCCTTTTGACGCCCTCATATTCCACACTGGCCAGTAGCTTTGGGTTTTCTATCATCCAGTAATTGACTGAGCCTTCTTTCTTTCTGTTTGGAAAAACCCCCATAGTGTGTGTTTGTTGTGTCCTTCATTCCAGTCTCTCATCCCTTTTTTTCTCGATTTGTAATTCGGGGTGCCTGGATGGCTCAGTTGGTTAAGCGTCTGACTCTTGGTTTTGGGTCAGGTCATGATCTCAAGGTCATGGGATTGAGCCCCATGTCAGGCTCTGCACTCAGGGTGGAGTCTGCTTGAGATTCTCTCTCCCTCCCCCTCTGCCCCTCCCTGCTCGTGCTCTCTAATAAATAAATTTAAAAATCTTAAACAAAAAAACTATTTGTGACTCCTGGGGGCCCCATGTCTGCCATGGAGATGTTAGAAAGTCCCTGGACCATATTTCAAAAGACACATCAGGAAATTCTGAACATATCTTGAGACTCCTACTAATTCTATGGGATTACAGAGGTTTATAAACTGCATTCCACATTTTTCCCTTGGTATTCTCACATACTTCTGAAATGTCAGAGGGATGAGATTTCTCTTTATCCCGATATTAAACATGTATGAAAAGCCTGGGGAGAGGAATGAAGACACTCGATCTGGTTTCTTCATAAAATCTCCTGGAACGGGATGACTCTTCACATAGATTTCCATTATTAGATAACAGGATACAGTTGTTGTATAATAATTGTAGCTTTGTATCTGTGGTTTTTAAAAGTTTAGGGATGAAGCAGATCACATTTATCAGGCACTGAGTCTGTACCAGACCCAGGATCTGGTACTTTCTGCGGCTTAGTTCATTTGACCCTCATATAACTTGAGAGGTAGGTACTGTTGTTACCCATGGTTTGTAGAGGAGAGACCCTGGATGAGACAGCAGGGTCCTCTTTAACGACTTGCGACTGTTTTTGCTGACAATAAACCTCTCCAAGCGAAATGAAATTCTGGAGTCAGTTTGGTAAAATAATCGGTTTTTGTAAAAACCACTCGCTCCATCCTGGGTGGAGTACTCTGCACAGGATCACCAGCACTGTCTTTAAAATAAGCATCGGTTACGTTTATCTGTGGTCCCAGACAGATAATGGAGAAAGGCAGTGATCAGAATGTCATCTTTTGAGGCCAGCTGGTGGCGAGGAGATGTCTCAAAGGCGCCTTGAAGAAAGAAACTTCCATAAAGGTTTTAGAGTTGGTCTTCCGGCCTCATATTACATATTACATCCTTCAGTTGGATTTCCTGCCATGACTGTAATGTCCTACCTCCTACAGCATGTGGCACGATTTTATGCATCCCACCGGTGACAGGAAGCTCTGCGTCCCCTGAAGACAAAGGGAAATAGAAAAGGTCATAGGACACTATTCTTCAAACTGAAGTATTATATACTCTTCTTGGAAAGGAAGAACATTCTTGGTAACCCCTGGTGTTGACTTTAGTTATTTTTATTTAAATTTGCTTAATGTACATGAATGTAAAATTAAACTCCTTTTATGTATGGCCCTGTACAAATTAAAACCCAAAACTAATTTACAAGTTAAATATAACCAAGACTGAAAGAATCCCCAAATATTCAAATTAGCAGCATTAGTTGGGTGCCACAGCTTCTGCTTCATGAGAATGGAATTGCTCTAAGGGGTCTGGGCATACTTCTCCTTCCTAGGCACAGGCGCTCTGAGCTGGTTGGCCCATTGCCATGTGATCACTCAATTCTCCCCGCCATTTTCACCCTTCCAGTGGCTTTCAAACCTGACCTTGCATCTGAAGCACCTGGAGGGCTTGTGAAAACCCAGATTGTGGAGCCCTACCCCCAGAGATTCTGATTCCGTGAGTTTGGGGTGGGGCCCAAGAATTTGCAGATCCAACATTTCCAGGTGATGCTGCACACTTTGGGAACCACCCCAAAGTCCATTTCTGTTCCTTTCTTATTAGCCTGTGACAATAAGAGTGCTATATTTTGGCGAAGGTTGTGTGTTGGTAAACACAAATGCAAAAGCAAGCACCGAAATCCAGTGTGTACTTGGTTATATGGTGGCTGTCCAATGGCCCTGGTTGCGGCTTGTAGGATGTTTTAGTATATCGGCAAAAGAAACTCAAAAATAGAACTGCCGAACCCCTGAAGACGTGTCCTATGTACTTCAGTTTGAGAAACAGTGTATGGTTGGGTATTATAAAACATTTACCTGTGGGAGGAGGGAAATGATACTGTGTAAGAAGGAGGCTCTTCAGCTGTAGGTGTGAATGTTACGACCAAGACGAAGGTGCCCAGAAGCGAGCAGGGACAGAGAAGACTGGTCTTGTTCCACAACCAAAGGGGAGAAGAGAGAGACCATGGCCTAGTATGGGGATGCCTTCCTCGTGCCTAGAGTTGCCCTAAATGGAATGAGCTGCATTGGGGAGGTTGGTAACCGTTGTCTTGAAGGTGGTTCAGGAGCCCCCAAGAACTTTGTGGATGTTCTGGGAGGGTTTCCTATTACAAACGCCACGTGTCCAAGACCCCTTTGAATGCAGAAATTCTATAACTGGGAGGGTGGGTGGGGGGGGCTTCTTAGTTTTCTCTCTTGTTGGTCTCCAAGAACCCTCCCAGCCAGGATGTTTAGCTTTGGCTCAAATGTATCCACAATGCAGCATCGCATGGTAGGTTCCCAAACGCGTTACCAGCCCCAGTGCTCCATGTCTCCGCCCCTCCCAGCTTCTTCAGTTCTGTCACTGTTCCCACCATTCGTCCTGCTTTCCACGTTTGTGGACAACTTGGCACAGCTCCTTCCGATGTCTACTACTTACTAGCCTGTCTCTCTCTGGCCTGCCATCCCTCTCACTCAGCCTCCAATAGCAGCGTGCTGATTTACTGCCGCAGGCTCCTGCTCCCTGTTCTGAGGCCCTTAAAGCCATTTAATACCAGATGACTGCTCCCCAAATATTTTGGCCGCAGAACTTGTATTCACCCAACATCTGTTCTTGTCCTGGGGAATGCGTTCTACCAAACACACAGGGAAATGCTCCTGTAAATGGCTCTGCCTATGCCTGGTTCATTCTTCTCTCCGTATCTCGTCTGCCCAGCTTATCATCCCCATCCCAAAGACCTAGAACCTTGCACTTAGATACTCGCCCCTCCCCCCCAGACGCCACCTGTCTTCAAGTACTTACTACAGACTTTTTTCTCCCTTAATTGAACGCCTCTGTGGTCGGAAGCAGCCAAGTGCATTTCTTAAACCCCCTGCATTTGCCGCGACTTGAAAAGATTGTGCTGAGTCATCTGTTGACTCGTTGACTGTCCGTCCCCACAATCCAAGATGGCAGGGCTTTGTCTGGTTCACCCCTGCGCACCTGTACCTCGGGTGGGGAGCCAGCCAGCAAGTGTCTGTGGCCTGAATGTTTAGGTATCTGTCTCCGTAACTCCGCTGTGAGTTACAGCGGAGGCACCGGATCTTAGAGTTATGTCTGCAATCTGAGAATGATTTCTGGCTGGAGTCCGTGGGCTCTGTACCTGTCGTGATCTGGGACACTGTAATTCACAGGCGCCTCAGTGGAACTGGGCCCCAAGGGTCTTAATTTCAGTCTCACTGGATTTGTTTTGACTGGAAATCCTATTGCCTGTTTTTAAAACATACTCCCTCGGGCACATTTGAACACTTGAGACCTCTGGGCAGACAGGCATTTCATCCCCATCGGGAAATCTCATCAAGATGATATGAGGTTTGCGCATCAGGAAAATAAAAGTCCTCCAAGAAGATGTTGCCGTTCGCTAGGTTGGCTTTGGGTATAAGCAGTTAAGCCCATTCAGAAGGTATTCCGACCACATCTGAGCTACGGGGCCAAGGCTGGGGGTGCAGAATCTCACAATGAACAATAATATAAAAAATAAGGGTGGGAAGGAGACACCTCCCCCAACCACCCCCCGGGGAATTCTCTAGTTATAGGCACAAACAGAATTCAAGGGAAAAGCAACAGGCCAGTTTTGGGGATGTGACTTTTGTTTCGAAGGACTGACAGGTAATCAGACCTGCCAGCCAGGCTGTGGCTTGCCTCCCTGTGCAGGGTCTTGCCCTTTATTTTTTTGTCTAGCTTCCTCCAGGTTCCACCTTATAAGCCATCCTTGGAAGACCACATAATGGCAAGACTACTTTTACTCAAGGCTCCTAGCATGCTCCTGGTATTTTTCACAGAATTTGGTCTGGACTTCCTTCCAGAAGGAAGGACATGGTTTCCCTTCTTTAGGGGGTAGCTCTTGAAGTTCCTTAGACTCCTTTGATCTCCACGGTCCATTGTCCAAGTCTTCACAGGCAAGCTTTTACCCATGCCTTTCACTTTTGCTCCTTCACTGTGGTGCCGAGTTTTCTAGAAAGAAGGCCTCTTGAGGTCAGCGTGAAAGTGCCAGGGCTGAAGCTTCGCCAAGCCCATGCCCTATTTGTCTTCCTCTCCCGGGGGCCCCATTCTGGGCTCATGCTTTGGTGTGTCTCTTTTCAGAGGTGTGAACATGTATGCCATGTTGACTGGGACCCTGCCTTTCACGGTGGAGCCTTTTAGCCTGAGGGCTTTGTACCAGAAGATGGTGGACAAGGAAATGAACCCCCTCCCCACCCAGCTCTCCACAGGTAAGGTGCCCGCTGCTCTGGATTCTGGGTTCCAGGACTCGTATGCCTACCAGATTTGGTCCATCCATGAAGCAGTATTTGCTTTGCAGAAATGGTATTAGGCCTTGTCCTAGGATTAAACTATGACTCAGGTGTGGTTGAGTTTCCCATGGGTAAGCAACCATTCATCTCACCTTGGTCCTTTTCTTTTTCATTATAACTCTGAACCCCTAACTTCCTCCTTCCGCACAAAACACACACATCGAAAGGATCTTGGAAAAATAATTGCAGTCTTGATTGTTTTAAAGCTCACCATATTATAATGTTGACTTTGAAAAAAAGCATTTATAATCACATTTCTATTGTGCTTTCCTCAGTCAATTCACTGTAAAGGAATATTACTTTCATTCAAGTTTGGTCTGTGATTTGTTTTGCTATTTGAGGTTTGAGCCTGTCAAAAGCTTTTAAATATATGTAGTTTCAGTTACTTGATTAGACTGAATCATCAGGTGTGTTTGGCGAGTATTCTCAAACTTCAGGTGGTTCACGTTTCAGTAAACAGGTCACACTAAGATTTGGTTTCAGACCCAATAAATTAGCACAATTTGTTCTTTTGTTTGGGTCACAATTCACTTCAAGTTCCTGGCTTCAGGTTGGCCCTGGCAATTATTTAATTGGCTCCTTAGAATAAACTCAGCTTCAGCTTCACTAAGATAAGGCATGCAACAACAACAACAACAACAAAAAAGGTAATTATTTAATTTCAACTTAGAATACATGGTTTAAAATACAGCATTTTTATTTTACTACTGTTATGTATTTTTTCTCTTGAGTTTATAAAGCATCCATGAAGCTTGCCAAATGGAATTCAAGCTGAAATGCATTCTTGTATGTCATGATCTAATTTGGTCTGTACTTCGCTAGGGAGGGTGGAATCTCTCGTACCCTCATGCCTAAAAAAGGCAGACAGGGCTCCCTTTGAGTACCACTGAGACACTAAGGAGCTGGAGAAATGCTTCTCATTATTTTAGTCATGGTAGGCCAGACTATGCTACAGTAACAAATAGCCCCCAAATCTCAGTGGCTTAAGACAACAAAGACTTACTTCTCATTCATGCCACAGATCTGTGGAGAACTGGATCAAGGGTTGGAGGATTCTGCCCCTTCTAGTCAGTCAGAGTCCCAGACTGATGGAGCAGCTACCATTTCAAACATACCTGGTCCATGTGGAGGGAAAGAAAAGTCTAGAACATCTCTCACTTAGCAATGAAGTCTCCCGCCAATGTTCTATTCATAACTCCTAACTTTCTAAAGCGTGTCGCATGGCTTCACCCAACTAAAGGGGAATGGGGAAATACAACCCTGCTGTGTGTCTAAAAGGCAGAAAACCAGTAACATCTATTGAACGGCATGAGTGTGAGCCACAGATTGTGGGAGGAAGAACAGGTGGTTCAGCCCGTGGTAGTCCCCAGGGTGGGTTGCGCATCAGGGTAAGGGCAGGGAGGTTAGCAGCCCAAGAAGTCAGTCTCATTACTTCAGAACTGACATTGTTTTGAGGCACCTGGGTGGTGCAGTCAGGTAAGCTTCCAGCTCTTAGTTTTGGCTCAGGTCATGATCTCAGGGTCCTGGGATCGAGCTTCGCATCGGGCTCTGTGTGTGCTCAGTGTGGAGTCTGTTTGAGATTCTCTGTCCCTCTCCCTCTGTCCCTCCCACGTGTGCTCTCTCTCTCTCTCAAATAAATAAATGAATCTTTAAAAAGAAAAGAACCAACATTGTTTTAACCCCAGTAATACTACCCAGACTTAGCAGGCTGGGCTCTATGTGTTTTCTGATTGTGAAAATTAAATATACCTTAAAGAAGTAAAAGCTCCACTCCGAAGATGTTTAAAAAAATAGTCCAGAAGAAATTCCAAAGAAGATATCTAAGAAATGTTCTGAGCGATTTTAGCGTCACTGGGGTTGGCTCCTGCTCTGAGCAGACAGCTTTGACTTTGGCCTTAAGCTGTGTGTGTGCTTTTTAAAGATCTTCACATTCCTAAGGGACTTTGTTGTCTTGACTTGTCAAGCATGAACAAGCAAGAATTGCATTTTTTTCTTCTTCTTCTTCTTTTTTAAGGTTTTATTTATTTAAGGGCGCCTGGGTGACTCAGTCGGTTAAGTGTCCGCCTTCGGCTCAGGTCATGATCCCAGGGTTCTGGGATCGAGCCCTGCATTGGGCTCCCTGCTCGGTGGGGATTCTGCTTCTCTGCCTCTACCTCTCCTTCTCTTTCTGCCCCTCTGCACCACTTGTGCTCTCAAGAGAGAGGAGAAGGACAAGCAGACTCCCTGCTGAGTGTGGAGCGCACGGTGCTCAATTTCATGACCCCAAGGTCATAACCCAAACCTAAACCAAGAGTCAGTTGCTCAACCGACTGAGCCACCCAGGCACCCCAAGAATTGCATTTCTATATTTGATTTTCCAATTCAGGAATCTGGACTCCTCCCCTAACCTTTTTTTTTTTTTTAAACTATTGGAATATATAAGTATTTCTCCTATTTCTCCTCAACGAGGGCTTCCTGCCAGGTATCAAGCGTGGTGTTTGTACAGAATAGATTCTCGGGGAATCTAGGTTGCTGACTTGGGTTGTCCAAGTGTGTGGCTCTGGAAGGCAGCCCACAGATCCTCCCACCTGCTCAGGGACAGGATTTGACCCGATGCACTGGGGCCCCGAGCTTCCGTCTGGCTACTGGAGGGGTGCAGGTTATCTTACCGTGTTTACACAGTGAATGACCTCGGTTTCAGAGGTGAGCCCCTGGCCTTCTGATGGCCTGTTTCATTAAGCCTCTCACCAACACCATCTTCATTTTTTTACAAGATTTTATTTATTTATTTATTTGAGAGAGAGAGAGAGCGCGTGCGCACAAGCAGGGAGAGGGGCAGAGGGAGAGGGAGAAGCAGACTCCCCGCTGAGCAGGGAGCCCGATGTAGGGCTTGATCCCATGACCTGAGCCAAAGGCAGACGCTTCACTGGCTGAGGCACCCAGGCGCCCCTCACCAACACATCTTTAATTTCATTATTCTATCACTCATATTTGCAATGATCTCTATACATCTATTGTATAATAGTACTCTTTTTTTAGATTAAGTTGGGAGAATTTTTTTTTTTTTAAGATTTTATTTATTTATCTGAGAGAGAGAATGGGAGATGGGAGACAGAGAGCATGAGAGGGGAAGGGTCAGAGGGAGAAGCAGACCCCCTGCCGAGCAGGGAGCCCGATGTGGGACTTGATCCCGGGACTCCAGAATCATGACCTGAGCCGAAGGCAGTTGCTTAACCAACTGAGCCACCCAGGCGCCCTAAGTTGGGAGAATTTTTGCCGAGTTGAAAAAAAAGGACAGCGTTACTGCCCTTGTGAGTCCTTTGTGCATGCTTTTGAAGAATTGCCCCTCATCTCTACCACGTGGTTTGAAAACTTAAGCTTCTGGGCCCTTTCCAATTCTCGCTTCTAGACAGTCTCGTTCTGCTTGTTGGCACTTGCGAATCGCAGAGTTGGGAATGCGTTTCATGGCTTACACATTTTTCAGACAGCTTATCTTTACATCTCTACTTCTCAGTGATGTGCTTTCATATTCCAAACAGTCACTTCCGAGCCAGGAGGGTTTTGTACCATGAAGTCATGGAAGTGAAGCCGAAGGCGCAAGGGGAGAGCCAGTGCCAATGGGGATCTGTGAGAAGGTTCAACTGTCAAATAATTGTCGTTGCTGCTTTTGCCTCGGAGGTGATAAGGAAGGAGACTCGGGTGCGGACAGGACTCCCATTTGCATCTGCTGGGCTACACGTCCGATTGGCTTTGTCTGTGTCCTGTAGCCTTTTCCCTAGGCACGGTGTCAAGGTGCTCACACAAACCAGTCCAGACTATGGAAAGCAGACTCCTCATGGAGGGAAGTGGGTTTCGCACCGGAGAAGTGCATGCCACGTGCGATGTGGAGCAAGGAGGGGGAGCTCTCTGTGCGGGTCATCCCTACCCTGGGGCCTGAATGGAGACCCCAGTTACTAGCTTAGAAGGGTAGAGAGCAATGAGAGGCCGGGCCCACCATGGCTTTCCAGGACAATGGAGAATTTTAATCCCTTTTGCTCATGAAACCTAGGGATTTTCAGGATCCTAAGACAAACTTCAAAGAACTCTCCCGATATTTTCAAAGTCCTTCGTGGGTAGGAATGCCATGTTGGTGATGTCCAAAGAAATAAAATTCATCAGTAGAGATTAGAACTAAAATTGCTTGTGCTCATCAGCAAATTGTGAAGATGCCGAGTGCGTGGTTCTGAAAATAGAACAGAAATGCACATCCAGTCCGTTCTTAGCTCTTTGGGTTAATCATACTCTGAAAAAGCCTGGCAGTAGCCTGGGTTGTACAGGTCCTTTGAGGGTAAGCGACAGAGATGTCTCAGAAACATCATGAACTCACAGCCTCCACATTTCAACGGAGGAAGCCCACATCTTTTTTATTTGACCAATAGATGGCCCTGATTAGGCATCCAGATGACGCTTGCAATGTAGGGGAGTCGAGAGAAGGGAGATAGAGGTTCCAGAAAGAGGAACTTCTTCTTCGTCTTTTTTTTTTTTTTGAGATCTCTTTGCTTTTCAGACCATTGAAGAATATTTTAGGAAAGTTTTATTTGGAGACCCAGCTATAAAACTTAAGAGTATTAAATGTACCTCACGAGTAAGCTGGCGTCTGCACGTATATTTTTACCCACTCCATTCTTAATGAGAAATGACTTTCTGGTGACCACAGCAACTGGATGGGAACCCACTGGGGGAGTTACCTGGTGGCATGAGCAAGTAAAAATTGTTTCTTTTGGGTGGATTCTGCCATCACCATCAGCTCCTCTTTTGTTGGCTTGATTTCTACCCTGCAGAAAATGGATTGACAGAAAACACCTACCATTCTGTAAGAACAGTATTAGAATGATAACTAAAAGCTTGTGAGAAAGTGACTTTTCTTCGAGAGGTTAGATTATGTTAGAAAACTGAAAGATAACTTTGGAGAGAAGGATAGAAAAGTTTGGGAACTGGGGCTCCTGGGTGGCTCAGTCGGTTGAGTGTCCAACTCTTGGTTTTGGCTCAGGTCTTGACCTCATGGGTCGTGGGATCAAGCCCCACATTGGGCTCCATGCTCAGCAGGAGTCTGCTTGGATATTCTCTCTCCCTCTGCCCCTTCTCCAGCACACGCTCTCTCTCTCTCTCAAATAAATAAGTAAAATCTTAAAAAAAAAAAAAGAAAAGTTTGGGAACCAAGCAAATTAGGATTCTGTTCTGGAGTCTATTACTTGGTCTACTGGAAATTGGATATCATGGACAAAGCTACATAAAAGGATATTTTTTATAGTGCCAAGACAATATGACCATGCCCTGTAAGAGAAGGAGCATAGAATAAAAAGAAAGACATAATCCCACAACTCAAGCAAGACAGACCATCTTCATTTCAAAGTAATCCCTGGCATTCTTTGTCCATATGTGTTCATGTGTATTCTCCTGCTAGCAATTTTGGAGCCTGTGACCTTCCTGTGCATTATACACATGTTTCCCCATGTCATGCAGTTGTCTTACGTTGTTATAATCTTCAAGGATGCAAATATCTACTTAGAGATGAACCTTAGTGCCTGGATGGACAGCAGGTGCTTTGTTAAATATTCGTCTAATGAAAGGAGGCCCAGGGCATTTGAAAATCATTTTTGCCTGGGATGGAAAGGAAAGGGGGCTGGAGGGATTTTATAGTTTGTTAGTTGCTTCTCATATTTTTTCTTTACATACCATGCTCAGCATAACTGATGTGACCACAGCAAACTTCAGTCAGCTGCAAAATAAGGACAAACTTGATTGGCGTACATTCTGCCCAAGCAGCCCCTTCATTTTGAGGGAGAGCACAAAAGGAAAGGGCCTATCAAGTAGACATGGGTTTATAGTGTGGTGCTTACTGGAACTTTGTACACAAAGTAGGCATTTAAAACTTGGGTGGCTGTTACAGAGTTGACTTACACTTTCACTGAAGCTGGCTCTCTGATTGGCCTGGCTGCATGGGCGTGGGCTCTGGCTGGTCTGGGTACTGTGCTGTCTGTTTAGGGTGTGGGGACTAAGTGGACGGCCATGCAAAATGGCTTTAAAAGAAAGAACAAGGGGTGCCTGGATGGTTCAGTCAGTTAAATGTCTGACCCTTGATTTCAGCTCAGGTCGTGATCTCAGGGTTGTGAGATGGAGCCCCATGTTGGGCTCCGTGCTGGGCATGGAGCCTATTTAGGATTCTCTCTCTCCCTGTCCCTCTGCCCCTCCCCTCCCCCTCCCCAATTCTTTAAAAAAAAAAAAAAGACCAGAAAGAAAGCAGGACCTCCCTTGGTCTCTTGAGACTCTGTGTGTCACATGGTGAGAGGCAAGTTAGAAGGTATAATTCAGAGTGCCTTTACCCTCTGGTTCCTTTCTGAGTACTTCCTCAAAAAACCACCTTGAGAACAAGCATTTTCTCTTTACTTTCTTTTATCCCTTCAAGCATGGAAATAGAACAGCTCTTGGGCTCACCTTTAGAGATGGGCCACAAGATCAGACCACAGGTTGTCCTGGGAAGTGCAGGGCATGGGGAGACCCGAATTGGGTCTTGCTTAACCGTGTACCCTTGGACAGATATCTTAAACTCTTTGGACTTGAGGCACCTGGAGATCCAGGGAATAGACCAGTGCTGGCCATGACTCAGGAGCGGGGGTGGACCACCTGCCTTGAGTCTCGGTGGCATCTGCGTTCAGCCTGTAACATGGGTATGTTTGCCTAATGTCTTCCCAGGTGCCATCAACTTCCTGCGCTCTCTTCTGGAACCAGATCCTGTGAAGAGGCCCAATATTCAGCAAGCACTGGCGAATCGCTGGCTTAATGAGAATTACACGGGCAAAGTGCCATGTAATGTCACCTATCCCAACAGGTAAGTACACACAGAGGGACCCCTTCTCAGGCCAGATGGGGCTGCCTCCTGAGCCCTGAATACTTCTGGACAGGAAGCAGTACATGATTCAAGGAAAAGCTGAGTTTTCTCTTGGCTGCCCATCCCCCACTCTGTGCCCACACATCCAGGGACAGGCCCACCTCAGTGCACAAGACGAAGGGTAGAGGGGGACATCCCATGTGGTTGTGCAGACTGTGCCCTGCACGGGGCACCCAGCAGAGGGTGGGTGGAGGCTGGAATCCACACCACATTCCCCTTGTCATTCTTGCTCCGGGGGCTTACATCTTCACAGAGTGGCACCTCTTTCTAATTCACACAAAGGGACCGTTCAGACTAGCTGTGGCCTGAGTGTGTGTGTATGTGTGTGTGTGTGTGTGTGTGAGCGTGTCTGTGATGGTATCTGGTTGTATTTGAGTGTGTGTGAGATCCATTCCTGGGCTCTCCCACCAGCCTCAGGCAGAATCCAGTGGGATTGGCCCTCTCCCCATTCAAACCACCCCTCGGGCCCCTCTTCTGCTGCTTCTTTGCTCCGATGTTTAGTTTAGCCCCGAGTCCCCTGCTCAGAATGGTGGGGGCAAGAAGAAAAGGCAGTAGAAGGAGACAGTTGCTTCAGGCCATGTTTCCCGGTGGACTTCCTGTGAAGGCTTCACCTTAGCAGCTTCCAAGAGGAGGATGCTTCAGGCAAGGCTCGCAGGCGGGGATCCACAGCGTGGAAACCCTGAGGGGCACCTCGTGGTGGCCCACACGTTGCCATTGCTGCTGCACTGACTACAGATTTGAAAACAAGTACAAGAAAGCATTTCCTTGTACTTTCTTCCTACTCATTTGACATATTGTTAACTGCCCTGAGTGAAGCATGAGGCCCCTCACCTTGGTTCCTTTACAGCAAACATGAAGACCACATGGGTCAAATACCTTCCAGTTCTGGGACCCACACTCTCGGGCCTGGGCCTGCTCACTGTAGTCTGAAGCCCAGATGAGAACAAGGACCACTGATGAGGGGGACAGATATTTTTCAGAATGTCCAGGAGGGTCTGGAAACATCCACCAAGCCGTAGGAAAGCTGTCACACTGAGTTCTCCAAATAGGATGGGCAGGCAGGGCTCTGTCTTGGGGAGAAAGTTCTAGAAGAACTTTAAGAGGCCACAGGTGGAGTTTGCATCCATGCTACTGAGCCAAATTTACACTCACTCTGAGTATGGATGAGGTAGTTTCACTCCGCTGCCATCTAGAATTCTAGCATTTGACTCTTGAGAGGTAATTTAAACCAAGTCTAGGTTACTTAGGTTACCAGGGGAACCTGGAAATAGACTGCTGGTTTCCACCACTGGCTCCGCTTGGCCCGTGTCTGAAACAGACACCAGAAATATTACCTCAAGGTGAGATGGAAAGCAAAGCCGGGGAGCCATGGCTCATCACCAGTGCTCACGAAGGATGGCAGCGCACAGGTATGCTTTCCGCTAGAGGAGGGCGTGCTGGTGACAGCCACGTGAGTCATTAAGCTAATGTAATCACTGCCTAAATGAGCATAATCAATCCACCGAATGTGGCAGCTGTTGGAAGGAAGCGGAGCTGGCATTAGAAATACAGTCTCCCCCTCCTTGTTGGCCGCATCCTCATTCACAAAGAATCCTACCGTGGCGCCTCATTCTATAGCTTGTCCACAGGTGGTAGTCAGGCATTTGTAGATTAAACCAAATTCAAGGATCCTGTACTGGATTTTGCCAGATTAGCCATTTTTTTTTGCCTTTGGACTTGGTCAGAAGCATAAAGGCTGCACATGAACTAGCTGAGTTGTGAAAGTGGTTAAGATCATGTCTATTGAAGAAAACAGCCGCTTACTATCTTCTGTTTATACAAGGCCCACTGCTCATTTTGTACCAGAGGCAAATCAGTGTTCGTTTTAAAGTACCAAAACCAGAAATCTGAACTCTTGTGGGAGGTAGGTTTTTTACAGTCTTGATTTTGAAAAATGTGTAAGGCAAAAAAAAAAAAAAAAAAAGCAAGCAAGAATCAGTGCTTTTGATAGTTATTTTTCTGGTTTGACCAGAGCACAGATAAATGGAGTCAGAACATGTGATCAGGGAAAGGAATATGGACTGTATTATAAAGTATATTTTATAGCTTCCCAACAAACCTAGCCTCAGATTTCATTATTTTAGATGTTGTTAAAAATGTTTTACTTTGGGGAAAGAGCAAAAATACAGGGCTTATGTTTTGTATCACTCTTCTGTAAAGCCTTCTGTTAAGTCGTTTGGGCTTCCAAGTTGATCTTCAAAAGGCAAGAGGAAAATAACTTTAAAAGTCAACTTTTTATAATAAATATTCGTGCCAGTCAGTCAACAGTTTGCTGTGCACGGGCCAGCCTCCCTGTGTGCTAGAAGCAGATATTTTTAGGGAGGTAACCTTGGCTGCCTTCCTCCATCGCCCTGCTCGAGCCTGGACAGTCTCCCACCATCCAGTTAGCTCTGGAGGTGGGCGGGAGGGAAAGGAGGTCATTGGCAACAGGGTGAAATTAGGCCAAATTGGTAAAATAGGTTATTTAATGCAGATTTACTCAGAATTATACCTGGGGTTCTGGAACGTTTTACTGTCCAAACGTGGGGAGATAGTCAAAATTAAGTAACCGATATTGCAGACTTCCAAATATACACGTTGCTTACTGAAAATGTTTAGTACTCTCAGTCAACAGAGTCGACAGTGTCTTTTGGCAGAGCTCTCGTGTTTCTGAAGACAATGGCTATCGAAGGGCCGAGATGGGGTGCCTGCCCCTGCTTACTGCCCCCTTCTCACCTCCACCCCCCAGCCCCACCCTGGTGGCACCCCTCTGCCACAGCGCTCTCTCTTGGGGCCCTGCTGCGGGTAGCGGGGGGCGGGCTGCCGAGGGTGGCGGCCGGTTGATTGGCCAGGGGCAGCTCACGCAGCCGTGATCTGATTGGCCAGGGGTGAGGCCATGAGGCCATGGTCTGATTGGCCAAGGACAAGGCACAGGGCCATGGTCTGATTGGCCAGGGGCAGGGCCACGCCCACACAGTCATTACTGGGTAGTTTCCAAAATCGAGCCTTCTGCTTTGGTGAGTGCTTTGGCAAACTTCAAGTAATTGTATTCTTTTTTAACAAACATTATTTTTACCACTAGTCATTCCGAACCCCCCCCATCCGTTATCTAGAATTTGATTTTGTGGCCAACAAGGAGGGGGAGGTGGATTTTGAGGAGCATTTTCTTTGGATGGCACTTCCGCGTATCTAACGAGGGAGTGCTGCTAAGGTTATACCGGTGGGTGGTGGAAGATGGTCCGCAAACCTAGGTCTGCCCTTGCTGCCCTTTTCAGCTGGCCTGTAAATTTGGCAAGTCAGTTTCCTCTTCTGTATCATTATGGACTTGTCCTGTGTGGTTTCTCAGGGTATTATGGTCCGAGGTCCCATAAAAAATGTCCTCGGACCCTTGGTGGAGGGTTGGTGGGCTACAGAGCTCTCTGGCCGGGTGTGCTTGCCATCTGCTCAGAGTGCCCTATTTATATCTCTCTTAAGGGATTTAGAATGTTCTATTTGATGATGTACCCCTCCTATCATCACACACACACTCTATGCTCCTCAGCCTACTTTGTTGTTCTCCATAGACCTTCCTTGTGTCTGTTTATTTGAGACCTGCTGAGTGTAGAGGTTTAGCATCTAGACTCTGAGCCAGGCTGCCAGGGATTGAATTCTGGGGCTCCTCCTTCCTGCCTATGGGATCCCAAGGCAAGTCATTTCCCAGGTGTGGGCCTCAGTTTCTTCCATCTGTAACATAGTACCTACTCGTAAGATTTTCATGAAGGCTAAATGAATTTATTTGGTTTGTTCCCCACTGCAGTGTCGACTCCACAAAACAGGGACTTGTTGAAGGAATGAATAAATGAACGAGTGGATGAGTAGATAAATGAATAGCAGGCATTCATTCCTAACCAAGGAGTTTATCTTCATAAGAAGCTTTAATCTGCCTTCCGAGAGCACCCTACTTTATGGCCGAGTCCCCAGTTCCCTCTTTGTGAATGCGGGATCTCACACTGTTCCTTCACACAGTCTGGGTTGGCTCCTGAATGCGCTCCTTTCCCAGCCCAACTTACATCCAACTCAAGTGTGGGCTCTACCCATGTCCAATAAACACATTTTTAGAAAAGAGTGCCAGATTGTAAAGCAATTCAGGGATAATTGGGGGAAATTTGAATATAGTCTAGATATTAGAGAATACTAAGAAATTATTACAAATTATTAAATCATTGAGTATGTGAATGGTATTGTGATTCTGTAGGAGATGTCCTTGGATCTTAAAGGTACACACTGGGGTGTGCACCATTGTCACGAAGAGCGACCCTCACCCTGTGTACATGGCACCTTGGGATCTGATGGTGTGGGGCTGTCACGGTTAGGAAGACATTTAGAAAACAGAACATGAAGAGCTTCTAGAGCTTTTTTAGTGCGCTATTTTTTTTTTCAGGTCATGATGCCTGTGATTTAAAATACTTGAGCACTAAATACACAAATAAATGAAGAAAATAGAACAAAGTATTAACAGTGGTGTATTCTGGTGTTGGGTACACAAAGGGTATTTATACTCTTCTCACTAGTTTTCTGTCTGTGTGACATTGTTCATAATAAAAAAGTCAAGTGAATGAATGAATGGATGGATGGACACGATTGTTCATAGGGGCCCTGATTGGTGGGGGGCGGTGGATGCTTTGTGCCGCCATGTTTGTGAGCATCACTGAGGAGGCCCTGGAGCCCCTCAGTGGAGGTGGAGAGGTGACCGGTGCTCTCTCTGCTGGGCAGGATTTCCCTGGAGGACCTGAGCCCAAGTGTGGTGCTTCACATGACGGAGAAGCTGGGCTACAAGAACAGTGACGTGATCAACACTGTGCTCTCCAACCGCGCCTGCCACATCCTCGCCATCTACTTCCTCTTAAACAAGAAACTCGAGCGCTATTTGTCAGGGGTGAGTGGGGCCCTAGTGGCAGTTTTCTCTGCTCCCCGTGGAAAAAGGAGCTCTTAAACCTACAGTGTTTCTCAGTTGCTGACACTTGATCTGAGCTGTTAATTTAAACTAAATGGGAGGCTGAGTTTCTGAATGTGGGATAAAAGAGTAGCAAAACCTGCTTCTCAGGTAGCTAGCGCTTCTTACCTGAGGTGTTTTTCAAATATCCTCCCACAGAGGTAAGCCCTGGGCGGCACTGTGAGAGATTCAAGCCACTTTCCCCTTCAGTTTCTCTCTTGCGTTTTCTGTCTGCCTCTGAGCTCCTTGGGTTCCCATGTTAAAGGCATCGGGGACTTCTGTGGTCATAAAAGTTGGGGAGCAATGCCTCTCAAGCATTCATCTCTAAAGCATGATTTATGAGAAAGGCATTATTTATATTTACTTCTCTGGAAAGTAAAATGAAATTGAGCTTTACTAGCTTGGCCCTGGTGCCTTCAGTCTGGGCGTCAGAGAGTAGGTGTCCTATGCAACAGGTGAGGTACCCTCATGCCTTGGTCACCTTCGTCCCTCTGCCACAAGCAGTTCATCTATGCCTGGGGAAGGAATGTACATGCTTCGGTATCTAGTTTTGACTAAATCATCTCTCTCTGCTTAATAATTCGGCATGGAGGGCGCCTGGGTGGCTCAGTTGGTTAGGCGACTGCCTTCGGCTCAGGTCATGATCCTGGAGTCCCGGGATCGAGTCCCGCATCGGGCTCC